GAATTACTCAAGAAAGCAAAAAGAGACCATGTTTGTATGCGGCTTTATTAACTCAATGATTGTTTGCAAACTGATATGTGACACGTATTAATTCCAAAATAACATGCAACACAGGCAACAACAACAAAAAAGTATATATATATTTTTAATTATTATTATTTTTAGCTAAACTGGTGGGGCTCAAAACACCACTGGTACGCATATGAAGTGGCTATATTGAGCGTAAAAGTGATCATTTGAAACAAGTCCTGTATGCTAGATTTAGAGTTATTTGGCAACTTTAGTTGTGAATGATACAAACCTTAGAATATGCCTTAGAAATCAAAAGATATATGGGCTGCATGATGCGACTATAGGCTATTGATGATTTGAGATAGTTGCAAAAAAAGCTTGTGCTCGGTTTCTTGACTCAGGCTGCACACGCTATTCTCTGCAGCTCTCATCAAGTGATAATTATTTCACCCATCAGAATATTCTCAATTTAATCTAGTCTTTACTAATATGTAAAAGTAGTTTAGATTTAGAATGGCCTATTATCAAATTGGCAGGAACAGGGGCAAGAGGAAAAATACATGTCATCCATAGGCACTCCAATAGGAATGGCCACTTTCCCACCGGTTCATCCCATGTGGGGTAGGCTACTCCGGTTATTTTGCAATGCACAAGTGATATTCCGCCCAAACTCTGTATGCCATGGGCTCTCCAGCCCTGTTCCTGCAGCTACCCAGTGCTTAATTTGGGAAACCAAGTGAAATCTGTTCGGGAACATCGATAGTAACATGTTTTCACAACGAAACATCTTTCATTAAACTGTTGACAGCCCCTCTCTCTGCGTGCTGTAGAAAGGAATGAAGGCAAGAGGGGAGGAGATGGACACGCATGGTGGTAAGATGTTCTGTAGCTACAGGTAATGTTTCAGTCTATTAATTATGAAAATATAACAAATGCCCTATTACAAGGCTATTCAAAATCAAATTCACTATAATGTACTGTAGACTAACTGAATTTGTTTAAATCAGGGTTTTTTAAAACACTTCTCTGCCTTCTGTAATATGCCGGTTGGCTATGTGTTGTATAAAAGCACAATATTATTTTAATTACGTTTTTGGGCTCATTTATAGGCCTATGGGTATGCATAAACTCTAATATGCATATGGTGGTTTTGGATTAATCATCACCTTAGAAAGCACTGTCCATATTTGGGTTAAGCTTTGAAACCATCCATAATGACCATGTTTTCCACTCAGTTTCAACCTGTGTTGAACTTTCTTCAAATTGATCAATCACAGTAAGGTGAGTTTTAAAAGCACATACTGTTTTGATGATACGTTTTTGAAGTGATTTTCGATTGCATTTACATTGATGTCAGATTGGTTAGAGGGACAACAGAGCCCTGAGTACCAGGCCATTAGCGACCTGATGATCGTTAGTGAGTTGGGTACCACTAACACATGTCCAGAGTGCATAAAAGGAGATTACCGTGACTCAGCGGTCACATAGAATTTTACTGCGGTCATGACTCATGACTGCCGGTGTGACGGTAATGCGGTCACCGCAACAGCCCTAGTTAGGGCCGTGTGAATAGCGATGGAAATGTCATCTTCCATGGATCTGTTGGAGTGGTAGGCAAATTGGAGTGGTTCCAGCGTGCCTGGCATGCTGGCTTTGATGTGGGCCATGACCAGCCTCTCGAAGCACTTCATCATGACCGTGGTGAGTGCAACGGGGGGATAGTCATTTGGACATCTCACCTTGGTTTTCTTGGGCACTGGGACAATGGTGGTCTCCTTGAAGCAAGTGGGGACTACAGCCTGGGAGAGAGACAGTTGAAGATGTCTGAGAAGACACCCGCCAGTTGGTCAGCACACACTGAGGTATGCAATCTGGGCCAGCAAGAGTTTTCCTCACATCAGCCTCGGAGAGCGAAGGCATCTGGTCGTCCGGAGCAGCGAGAGCCTTACTGAATGGCTTGGTATCGTCTGCCTCGAAGCGAGCATAGAATGTGTTAAGCTCATCTGGGAGGGAGACTTCAGTGGGCACCACACAGCTGGATTTGCCTTTGCAGTCCGTGATAGTCTGTAGTCCTTGCCACATGAGTCTAGAGTCTGAGTTGTCGAAAATCGATTCAAGTTTGAGTCTGTATTGTCTTTTTGCATCCCTTACGGATTTGCGGAGCTTGTACCTGCTTGCCTTGTACGAGTCGCACACCACCAAGTCATCAGAGTCCGTTCTGCTCACATTGAATGCTGCAGTATGGGCTCTCAGCATGGTACGGATATCTCCGTTCCACAGGATGTTGGTAGCACCTTCATTGGGGAGGACGAGCTCGTGGTAGTGGCTGGAGCAGAATAAGCGGAATGGTATCAAATACATCAAACATGGTTTCCATGTGTTCGATTCCATTCCATTAGCTCTGTTCCAGCCATCCTCCCCTTACCAGCCTCCTGGGCTCCGTTCATCCAGGGTTTTTGGTTGGGTTCTGTCCGTATTGTTATTGTGGGTACAGCATCAACACATTTCCTAATGACGCCTGTGACTGACAATGTATACTGCTCAAAAAAATAAAGGGAACACTTAAACAACACATCCTAGATCTGAAAGAATTAAATAATCTTATTAAATACTTTTTTCTTTACATACTTGAATGTGCTGACAACAAAATCACACAAAAATTATCAATGGAAATCAAATGTATCAACCCATGGAGGTCTGGATTTGGAGTCACCCTCAAAATTAAAGTGGAAAACCACACTACAGGCTGATCCAACTTTGATGTAATGTCCTTAAAACAAGTCAAAATTAGGCTCAGTAGTGTGTGTGGCCTCCACGTGCCTGTATGACCTCCCTACAACGCCTGGGCATGCTCCTGATGAGGTGGCGGATGGTCTCCTGAGAGATCTCCTCCCAGACCTGGACTAAAGCATCCGCCAACTCCTGGACAGTCTGTGGTGCAACGTGGCGTTGGTGGATGGAGCGAGACAGGATGTCCCAGATGTGCTCAATTGGATTCAGGTCTGGGGAATGGGCGGGCCAGTCCATAGCATCAATGCCTTCCTCTTGCAGGAACTGCTGACACACTCCAGCCACATGAGGTCTAGCATTGTCTTGCATTAGGAGGAGCCCAGGGCCAACCGCACCAGCATATGGTCTCACAAGGGGTCTGAGGATCTCATCTCGGTACCTAATGGCAGTCAGGCTACCTCTGGCGAGCACATGGAGGGCTGTGCGGCCCCCCAAAGAAATGCCACCCCACACCATGACTGACCCACCGCCAAACCGGTCATGCTGGAGGATGTTGCAGGCAGCAGAACGTTCTCCACAGCGTCTCCAGACTCTGTCACGTCTGTCACATGTGCTCAGTGTGAACCTGCTTTCATCTGTGAAGAGCACAGGGCGCCAGTGGCGAATTTGCCAATCTTGGTGTTCTCTGGCAAATGCCAAACGTCCTGCACGGTGTTGGGCTGTAAGCACAACCCCCACCTGTGGACGTCGGGCCCTCATGGAGTCTGTTTCTGACCGTTTGAGCAGACACATGCACATTTGTGGCCTGCTGGAGGTCATTTTGCAGGGCTCTGGCAGTGCTCCTCCTGCTCCTCCTTGCACAAAGGCGGAGGTAGCGGTCCTGCTGCTGGGTTGTTGCCCTCCTACGGCCTCCTCCACGTCTCCTGATGTACTGGCCTGTCTCCTGGTAGCGCCTCCATGCTCTGGACACTACGCTGACAGACACAGCAAACCTTCTTTCCACAGCTCGCATTGATGTGCCATCCTGGATGAGCTGCACTACCTGAGCCACTTGTGTGGGTTGTAGACTCCGTCTCATGCTACCACTAGAGTGAAAGCACCGCCAGCATTCAAAAGTGACCAAAACATCAGCCAGGAAGCATAGGAACTGAGAAGTGGTCTGTGGCGCACCACCTGCACAACCACTTCTTTATTGGGGGTGTCTTGCTAATTGCCTATAATTTCCACCTGTTGTCTATTCCATTTGCACAACAGCATGTGAAATTTATTGTCAATCAGTGTTGCTTCCTAAGTTTACAGTTTGATTTCACAGAAGTGTGAATGACTTGGAGTTACATTGTGTTGTTTAAGTGTTCCCTTTATTTTTTTGAGCAGTGTATATTCCTCAATATTGATGGATGAGTCCTGGGTGGATTAATCTTTGAACATATTCCAATCAGTATTCTCAAAACAGTCCTACAGCATTAAGTCTGCCTCCTCTGTCCAGTGCCTCACTATTCTCTTTATTGGTGCTCTTGAGTTGCTGCTTGTGTCACCTGTGTCTATCTGTTCACCTGTGTATTCATGCCCTCACTTCCCTGTGTTCCCTTGCTCAGTTTTCTTTGCTAGTTTCTCTATGTCCAGCAGTACTACTCAGTGTCTGATCGGAGACCTATGTCCAGGTACTTGAGAAGTGTTCTCCCTGTTTCGTTATTTGTTTCAGTCTAAGGTAGTATTTCGTATTTTGTCTGTCAGATGGTTTTTGGATACTTATTTGCTCCGCCTTTCTTTTATCGTGATAAGTCCGCTATTTTGTATTTTAGCTTCGGGACCACCAGTAAAGATCCTTGTTTCACCATCTCTGCCTACTGTATATCCTGCACAGCTCCTGGGTCACACCTCACCCCAACCCTTAGACATAAGCAACCGTTCGATCCCATACGGAAAATGGAAAAGCTGTCTGGTTGAATAGCAGAGTCGAGTGTTCCTGTAAAAATAAAAACACAGCATTCCCAGATGTCCCTTAGCGATGGAAAATCTGTTTTTCCTTATTGGACCAGTCCAGGTACTCCGTCCCTGCTTCAGTCAGTATTCTTCCATTTGGTGGTAAATGAACAAGACCCAGGTCTGATATGACTTACGGTCCATGACTGTTTGCCTTTTCTATATCTGTACTGTACAGTTTTGATGCTACCAAATGTCTGGTATTGTACTTTTTTACAAATAAATCTGACAGGGAAATCGTTTGTGCACATACACACGCACATGGTGTTGATATTTTACTTGGCAAAATATTTCTTGAACCGGACTGAAAAACTGGAAAGCAGTAGTAAAGGTTCACAAAAATAAACAATTATTTATTTGAATATTTTCTGCTTCATCTTATTGATCATTGCAGGTTCAGATGGTAAGACTTTGACCCCAACACTCATTCTGACAAAACAACTAGACTTGTCAACCATCTATACTGAACAAAAATAAAAAAAACGCAACATGCAACAATTTCAAAGATTTTACGGAGTTATAGTTCATATAAGGAAATCAGTCAATTGAAATAAATTCATTAGGCCATAATGTATGGATTTCACATGACTTGGAATAGAGATGCATCTGTTGGACACAGATACTTTAAAATAAATGGGCATCACAATGGGCCTCAGGATCTCGTCACGGTATTTCTATGCATTCAAATTGCCATAGACAAAATGCAATCGTGTTCGTTATCCGTAGCTTATGCCTGCCTGCCCATACCATAACCCCACCATCACCATGGGTAACTCCGTTCACAACGTTGACATCAGCAAACCACTCACCCACAGGACACCATACATGTGGTCTGCGGATGCGAGGCCGGTTGGACGTACTGCCAAATTCTCTAAAAGGACGTTTGAGGTGGCTTATGGTAGAGAAATGAACATTAAATTCTCTGGCAACAGCTTGGGTGGACATTCCTACAGTCAGAATGCCAATTGCACATTCCCTCAAAACTTGAGACATCTGTGGCATTGTGTTTTTCTTAGTGGCCTTGTATTGTCCCCAGCACAAGGTGCACCTGTCTAATGTTCATGCTGTTTAATCAGCTTCTTGAAATGCCATACCTGTCAGGTGGATGGATTATCTTTGCAAAGGAGAAATGCTCACTAACAGGGATGTAAACATATTTGTGCACAACATTTCAGAGAAATACGCTTTGTGTGTGTATGGAACATTTCTGGGATCTTTTATTTCAGCTAATGAAACATGGGACGAACACTTTACATGTGGCATTTATATTTTTGTTCAGTGTATCACTTTATACAGTAGCAGCACATAACATACCCAGTTACCCCAACCCCTCTCACACATACTCTTGCTCACACAGATGTAAAAAAATAAATAACTACACATACAAATTATTCACTTCCAATATTTACAGTACCAGTCAAAAGTTAGGACACACCTACTCATTCCAGGGTTTTTCTTAATTTTTACTATTTCCTACATTGTAGAATAATAGTGAAGACATCAAAACTATGAAATAACACATATGGAATCATGTAGCCAAAAAAAAGTGTTAAACAAATAAAAATATATCTTATATGCGAGATCCTTCAAAGTAGCCACCCTTTGCCTTGATGACAGCTTTGCACACTCTTGGCATTCTCTCAACCAGCTTCATGAGGTAGTCACCTGGAATACATTTCAATTAACAGGTGTGCCTTGTTAAAAGTTAATTTGTGGAATTTCTTTCCTTCTTAAATGAGCCAATCAGTTGTGTTGTGACAAGGTAGTGGTGGTATACAGAAGATTGCCCTACTTGGTAAAAGACCAAGTCCATATTATGGCAAGAACAGCTCAAATAAACAACAGTCAATCATTACTTTAAAGACATGAAGGTCAGTCAAACTGGAAAATGTCAAGAACTGCAAGAAGTGCAGTTTCAAAAACCTTTAAGCGCTATGATGAAACTGGCTCTCATGAGGACCGCCACAGGAAAGGAAGACCCAGAGTTACCTCTGCTGCAGAGGATAAGTTCATTAGAGTTACCAGCCTCAGAAATTGCAGCCCAAATAAATGATTCACAGAGTTCAAGTAACGAACACATCTCAACATCAACTGTTCAGAGGAGACTGTGTGAATCAGGCCTTCATAGTCGAATTGCTGCAAAGAAACCACTACTAAAGGACACCAATAAGTCAGAGACTTGCTTGGGCCAAGAAACACGAGCAATGGACATTAGACCGGTGGAAATCTGTCCTTTGGTCTGATGAGTCCAAATTTGAGATTTTTGGTTCCAACCACTGTGTCTTTGTGAGACGCAGAGTAGGTGAACGGATGATCTCCGCATGTGTGATTCCCACCGTGAAGCATGGAGGAGGCGGCGTGATGGTGTGGGGGTGCTTTGCTGGTGACACTGTCAGTGATTTATTTAGAATTCAAGGCACACTTAACCAGCATGGCTACCACAGCATTCTGCAGCGATACGCCATCCCATCTGGTTTGCGCTTAGTGGGACTATAATTTGTTTTTCAACAGGACAATGACTCAACACATCTCCAGGCTGTGTATGGGTTATTTGACCAAGGAGGAGAGTGATGGAGTGCTGCAGCAGATGAACTGGCCTCCATAAATCACCCGGCCTCAATCTAATTGAGATGGTTTGGGATGAGTTGGACCGCAGAGTGAAGGAAAAGCAGCCAACAAGCGCTCAGCATATGTGGGTACTCCTTCAAGACTGTTGGAAAAGCATTCCAGGTGAACCTGGTTGAGAGAATGCCAAGAGTGTGCAAAGCTGTCATCAAGGCAAAGGGTAGCTACTTTGAAGAATCTAAAATCTAAAATATATTTTGATTTGTTTAACACTTTTTTGGTTACTACATGATTCCATGTGTTATTTCATAGTTTTGATGTCTTCACTATTATTCTACAAAGAAAAACCCTTGAATGAGTAGGTGTGTCCAAACCTTTGACTGGTACTGTACATCTACGTCTGTAAAAATCGACATCTTATTAATCACACAGCTACAGTAAATCCCTTATATACATTACCTATACACACACCACCACCTCAAGCTCAACCTCGACAAGACGGAGCTGCTCTTCCTACCAAGACCTCTTCATTCACAGTTGACAACTCCACGGTGTCCCCCTCCCGGAGTGCAAAGAACATTGGTGTGACCCTGGACAACACCCTGTCGTTCTCTGCAAACATCCAAGCAGTGTCTCGCTCTTGTAGGTTCATGCTCTACAACATCCGTAGAGTACAACCCTACCTCACACAGGAAGCGGTGCAGGTGCTAATCCAGGCACTTGTCAACCCCCGTCTGGACTACTGCAACTCACTGTTGGCTGGGCTCCCCGCTTGTGCCATCAAACGCCTGCAACCTATTCAGAACGCCGCAGCCCGCTTGGTGTACAACCTTCCCAAGTTCTCCCATGTCACCCTGCACACTCCACTGGCTTCCACTTGAAGCTTGCATCCACTACACCCCAACCCGAGTACTCCGTTCTACTACCTCTGGTCTCTTGGCCCTCCCATCTGTACAGGAGGGCAGCTCCCGCTTAGCCCAGTCAAAGCTCCCCCCATACTACCATTGACTTTGCTGGTGGCTACTATGATTGAGATACGTGGTTATCCCACCTAGCTATCTTAAGATGAATGCACTAACTAAGTCGCTCTGGATAAGAGCGTCTGCTAAATGACTAGAATGTAAACGTAATATCATGGCCTCGTTTACAGTGTATTCACAAGATACTTAGTGTCTCTTCTTTGCCTTCTCTTTTTTCGTCTTTTCCTGGTATTCAAGAATCTTTTTGTGGAAAATTCCTGAAAACAGAGGGGTAGATGATAAAGGAGTAAATGAATGATAAGCAAACATATACCCCAAGAACAAGCCGGCATCATTACCATGGTAAACGACTTCAGGTATGTTTTCTAACACGTAAGTAGTACCTTTCAAATACTGTTAAGTATGTAAAAAAAAGCACCTTGCTGGGTGCTTGCTGGCTGCTGCTGCTCCACCTCCTGGATAAACAGGTCAAACATCTGGGTCTGGAGGAACTTCTTGACAAAGTGCCGTGTGGTCTTGGACTCGATGGCCTTGTAGAAGGCTCTGCTCTGAAACTCCCCCGGCTGGCCACTGCTGTTTCGCGTCACGTACGAAGCAAAATGGCCAACAGTCTTCACGAAGAAGGGCAGGAAGGCTTCCGAGACCACCCTGTTCAGCTCTTCCACGGCTGAGAAAAATGGTACACACACACACACACACACACACACACACACACACACACACACACACACACACCTTTTAGCGACGGTCCAGGTGGCTCCTCAGAGGTGTGTAATTTGGGCGTGCTTATGAGCCATAACACTCTGGATCTCTAGTACCACAATAAGGCATCACGTTGACCTTCCACCAGTCTGTGCTACTATGATGACACATGCTAATTTTCCTTAACCTCTCATTACTTCGAAAAGATCAAAGAAAGCATAAAGCAATCTACAGGCAACTGCCAAAATAAAGGATATACCAACATAAGGACTGTGTTTTAGTAGGGACAGCTTCAATGCACCTTAGCATAGATTCTACATGTGTCTGGATCTCCATTCGTCCATGAGAAATTCCTTCATTTGGTGTTTTGTTGATGGAAAACCCAGTCTCAGGCACCACTCCAGAATCTCCCATAAGTGTTCAATTGGGTTGAGATCTAGTGACTGAGACACATAAACACACTTTAAACCCCCCTATGATCCTTTGAGACCCCTCTTTCAAAGTCACTGAGATCTCTTCTTCTAGCCTTGGTAGCCAAAATAATGGGCAACTGCAAATTTTTATATATGACCCTAAGCATGATGGAATGTTTTAATTGCTTAAATAACTCAGGAACCACACCTGTGTGGAAGCACCTGCTTTCAATATACTTTGTGTCCCTCATTTACTCAAGTGTTCCATTTATTTTGGCAGTTACCTGTGTATTCAAAGTTTACAGTTAATACAAAACATGTATTCATATCACTAAGTATGGCTATCTGAACACCTGATGTGGTACTGCAGGTGCAAAAGAGCGATACAATCTCTGGACTCGTCAGGAAAGAATACCCCATGCAACACCTCATTTGCATTTTGGAAAAACAGCTTTTTTTATATATGAAAATATACTCACTGGCTTTTTCTTTCCTGTTTCTTAGTGCCTGCAGTATTTCATCTTGAAGCTTAGGGGGCAGAATAGACTTCTCATCCCCACTCTATGAAACAGAGGAGCCATTTTCAATGGTATGACAATGCAAAATATCAATTTCCCCCATAGTTTTAAAGCAGCAATATGTAACTTTTTGGGTGACCTGACCAAATTCACATAGAAATGTGAGTTATAGATCTGTCACTCTCATTGAAAGCAAGTCTAAGAAGCCGTAGATCTGTTCTATGTGTGTTATTTCTATGCTTCCCGTTCTTAAGTTTAGATTTTGTGTTTTTTACTTTTCGTTTTTGTACACCAGCTTCAAACAGCTGAAAATAAAATATTTTTGGTTATGGAAAATATATTTTAGCAGGTCCGCTCTTGAAAGCTGAGTTTTTTGGGATTGTTTTAGAATTAAATGTCAATGCAGTTTTAAAGCAAGTTTGCAGCAATTCTACACATTTTGCCATGGGGCGGAGAGGAACATTTGCTGTTTTACAGCCAATTTCCTACAATTCAATACATTTTGCCATAGGGTGGAGAGAAATGTTTGCAGTTTTGTGATATGATATCTGAGTGAGACTGACTAACAAAATCAATGGGGGCCTCCCGGCTGGTAATTCAACCACAATTACTAAGTTTAGATAAATTGGCCGCTAGACTAACTTAACAATTTTAAAGAAAATAGCTGACATGGGCTAATTGAGTGACTATCAGTGACTGACATAAGAAAAACTGCTGCTGCACAACCAAGTTTCGAAATTGCACCTATTGAGACCCCACTGAGTAAAAAAAGTAATAAATATATATATATATATATATTGCTCAAAACAATTAAGGGAACACTTAAACAACACATCCTAGATCTGAATGAATGAAATAATCTTATTAAATACTTTTTTCTTTACATAGTTGAATGTGCTGACAACAAAATCACACAAAAATTAATCAATGGAAATCAAATGTATCAACCCATGGAGGTCTGGATTTGGAGTCACCCTCAAAATTAAAGTGGAAAACCACACTACAGGCTGATCCAACTTTGATGTAAAGTCCTTAAAACAAGTCTAAATGAGGCTCAGTAGTGTGTGTGGCCTCCACGTGCCTGTATGACCTCCCTACAATGCCTGGGCATGCTCCTGATGAGGTGGCGGATGGTCTCCTGAGGAATCTCCTCCCAGACCTGGACTAAAGCATCCGCCAACTCCTGGACAGTCTGTGGTGCAACGTGGCGTTGGTGGATGGAGCGAGACATGATGTCCCAGATGTGCTCAATTGGATTCAGGTCTGGGGAACGGGCGGGCCAGTCCTTAGCATCAATGCCTTCCTCTTGCAGGAACTGCTGACACACTCCAGCCACATGAGGTCTAGCATTGTCTTGCATTAGGAGGAACCCAGGGCCAACCGCACCAGCATATGGTCTCACAAGGGGTCTGAGGATCTCATCTCAGTACCTAATGGCAGTCAGGCTACCTCTGGCGAGCACATGGAGGGCTGTGCGGCCCCCCAAAGAAATGCCACCCCACACCATGACTGACCCACCGCCAAACCGGTCATGCTGGAGGATGTTGCAGGCAGCAGAACGTTCTCCACGGCGTCTCCAGACTCTGTCACGTCTGTCACATGTGCTCAGTGTGAACCTGCTTTCATCTGTGAAGAGCACAGGGCGCCAGTGGCGAATTTGCCAATCTTGGTGTTCTCTGGCAAATGCCAAACGTCCTGCACGGGGCTGTAAACACAACCCCCACCTGTGGACGTCGGGCCCTCATACCACCCTCATGGAGTCTGTTTCTGACCGTTTGAGCAGACACATGCACATTTGTGGCCTGCTGGAGGTCATTTAGCAGGGCTCTGGCAGTGCTCCTCCTGCTCCTCCTTGCACAAAGGCGGAGGTAGCGGTACTGCTGCTGGGTTGTTGCCCTCCTACGGCCTCCTCCACGTCTCCTGATGTACTGGCCTGTCTCCTGGTAGCGCCTCCATGCTCTGGACACTACGCTGACAGACACAGCGAACCTTCTTGCCACAGCTCGCATTGATGTGCCATCCTGGATGAGCTGCACTACCTGAGCCACTTGTGTGGGTTGTAGACTCCGTCCCATGCTACCACTAGAGTGAAAGCACCGCCAGCATTCAAAAGTGACCAAAACATCAGCCAGGAAGCATAGGAACTGAGAAGTGGTCTGTGGTCACCACCTGCAGAACCACTTCTTTATTGGGGGTGTCTTGCTAATTGCCTATAATTTCCACCTGTTGTCTATTCCATTTGCACAACAGCATGTGCAATTTATTGTCAATCAGTGTTGCTTCCTAAGTGGACAGTTTGATTTCACAGAAGTGTGATTGACTTGGAGTTACATTGTGTTGTTTAAGTGTTCCCTTTATTTTTTGGAGCAGTGTATATACACATACATACATACATACATACATACATACATACATACATACTCAGTGGGGTCTCAACTTACTGTTGCAAGTTAGAATATAATAGTTTCTCGTATGTATGTATGTACAGCTGTGGAAAAAATTAAGAGACCACTGCAAATTTTTCTTAAATCAGCATCTCTAAATGTATGACAGCCATTCCATTCCAGTGTCTGTTGAATTCCAACACAGGCATATCTCATTCTACTGAATTAGGTACTGATTAGGTGATCACATGAACCAAATCTTATTTAACGAGGAAAAGTATAAAAACCACTGCTGTGGTCATCACTATCCTCTTGCAATAGGACCAGCTGGATGGCAAAAACAGCGCTAATAGTACCTCAAAAGTAATATTAATCAAAAAATAACTATTGACCATGCCAAAAGAGTTGAAAAGGAACGTTTTGAGTGAGGAAAAGAAGGGTTCAATTCTGGCTTTACTGGCAGAGGGATACAGTGAGCGTCAGGTTGCTTCCATCCTTAAAATGTCAAAGACAGCGGTTCATAAGAACAAGGTCAAGCAGCAGACATTGGGGACAAAGCCACAGACCGGCAGAGGGCGCAAACGACTCTACTGATCGGGATGACCGCCAACTCATTCGAATGTCACTCAACCACCATAGGATGGATATCAAGTGACCTACAAAAAGAATGGCAAACGGCAGCTGGGGTGAAGTGCACGGCGAGGACGGTTTGAAACAGGCTCCTAGGGGCAGGGCTGAAGTCGTGCAAAGCTAGAAAAAAGCCCTTCAGCAATGAGAAGCAAAGAAGAGTCAGGCTGAGGTTTGCAAAAGATCATAAGGATTAGACCGTAGAGGACTGGAATAAGGTCATCTTCTCTGATGAGTCCAATTTTCAGCTTTGCCCAACACCTGGTCGTCTAATGGTTAGACGGAGACCTGGAGAGGCCTACAAGCCACAGTGTCTCGCACCCACTGTGAAATTTGGTGGAGGATCGGTGATGATCTGGGGGTGCTTCAGCAAGGCTGGAATCGGGCAGATTTGTCTTTGTGAACGACGCATGAATCAAGCCACGTACAAGGTTGTCCTGGAAGAAAACACAGCCAGGTCAATCAAGGTGTGGATGGAGGACCACCAGATCAAGACCCAGTCATGGCCAGCCCAATCTCCAGACCTGAACCCCATTGAAAACTTCTGGAATGTGATCAAGAGGAAGTTGGATGGTCACAAGCCATCAAACAAAGCCGAGCTGCTTGAATTTCTGTGCCAGGAGTGGCATAAAGTCACCCAACATCAATGTGAAAGACTGGTGGAGAGCATGCCAAGACGCATGAAAGCTGTGATTGAAAATCAGGGTTATTCCACCAAATATTGATTTCTGAACTCTTCCTAAGTTAAAATATTACTATCGTGTTGTTTAAAAATGAACATGAACTTATTTTCTTTGCATTATTCGAGGTCTGACAACACTGCATCTTTTTTGATATTTTGACCAGTTGTCATTTTCTGCAAATAAATGCTCTAAATGAAAATAGTAGTTTATAGAATAAAACAAAAAAGTTATTTTTACCCAAACACATACCTATAAATAGTAAAATCAGAGAAACTGATAATTTTGCAGTGGTCCCTTAATTTTTTCCACAGCTGTATGTACAGTGGAGAGAACAAGTATTTGATACACTGCCGATTTCGCAGGTTTTCCTACTTACAAAGCATGTAGAGGTCTGTAATTTTTATCATAGGTACACTTCAACTGTGAGAGACAGAATCTAAAACAAAAATCCAGAAAATCACATTGTATGATTTTTAAGTAAATCATTTGCATTTTATTGCATGACATAAGTATTTGATACATCAGAAAAGCAGAACTTAATATTTGGTACAGAAACCTTTGTTTGCAATTACAGAGATCATACGTTTCCTGTAGGTCTTGACCAGGTTTGCACACACTGCAGCAGGGATTTTGGCCCACTCCTCCATACAGACCTTCTCCAGATCCTTCAGGTTTCGGGGCTGTCGCTGGGCAATACGGACTTTCAGCTCCCTCCAAAGATTTTCTATTGGGTTCAGGTCTGGAGACTGGCTAGGCCACTCCAGAACCTTGAGATGCTTCTTACGGAGCCACTCCTTAGTTGCCCTGGCTGTGTGTTTCGGGTCGTTGTCATGCTGGAAGACCCAGCCACGACCCATCTTCAATGCTCTTATTGAGGGAAGGAGGTTGTTGGCCAAGATCTCGCGATACATGGCCCATTCCATCCTCCCCTCAATACGGTGCAGTCGTCCTGTCCCCTTTGCAGAAAAGCATCCCCAAAGAATGATGTTTCCACCTCCATGCTTCACGGTTGGGATGGTGTTCTTGGGGTTGTACTCATCCTTCTTCTTCCTCCAAACACGGCGAGTGGAGTTTAGACCAAAAAGCTCTATTTTTGTCTCATCAGACCACATGACCTTCTCCCATTCCTCCTCTGGATCATCCAGATGGTCATTGGCAAACTTCAGACGGGCCTGGACATGCGCTGGCTTGAGCAGGGGGACCTTGCGTGCGCTGCAGGATTTTAATCCATGACGGCGTAGTGTGTTACTAATGGTTTTCTTTGAGACTGTGGTCCCAGCTCTCTTCAGGTCATTGACCAGGTCCTGCCGTGTAGTTCTGGGCTGATCCCTCACCTTCCTCATGATCATTGATGCCCCATGAGGTGAGATCTTGCATGGAGCCCCAGACCGAGGATGATTGACCGTCATCTTGAACTTCTTCCATTTTCTAATAATTGCGCCAACAGTTGTTGCCTTCTTACCAAGCTGCTTGCCTATTGTCCTGTAGCCCATCCCAGCCTTGTGCAGGTCTACAATTTTATCCCTGATGTCCTTACACAGCTCTCTGGTCTTGACCATTGTGGAGAGGTTGGAGTCTGTTTGATTGAGTGTGTGAACAGGTGTCTTTTATACAGGTAACGAGTTCAAACAGGTGCAGTTAATACAGGTAATGAGTGGAGAACAGGAGGGCTTCTTAAAGAAAAACTAACAGGTCTGTGAGAGCCGGAATTCTTCAAATACTTATGTCATGCAATAAAATGCAAATTAATTACTTTAAAATCATACAATGTGATTTTCTGGATTTTTGTTTTAGATTCCGTCTCTCACAGTTGAAGTGTACCTATGATAAAAATGACAGACCTCTACATGCTTTGTAAGTAGGAAAACCTGCAAAATCGGCAGTGTATCAAATACTTGCTCTCCCCACTGTATGTATGTATGTATGTATGTATGTATGTATGTATGTATGTATGTATGTATGTATGTATGTATGTATGTATGTATGTACAGTGAGGGAAAAAAGTATTTGATCCCCTGCTGATTTTGTACATTTGCCCACTGACAAAGAAATTATCAGTCTATAATTTTAATGGTAGGTTTATTTGAACAGTGAGAGACAGAATAACAACAACAAAATCCAGAAAAACGCATGTCAAAAATGTTATAAATTGATTTGCATTTTAATGAGGGAAATAAGTATTTGACCCCCTCTCAATCAGAAAGATTTCTGGCTCCCAGGTGTCTTTTATACAGGTAACGAGCTGAGATTAGGAGCACACTCTTAAAGGGAGTGCTCCTAATCTCAGCTTGTTACATGTATAAAAGACACCTGTCCACAGAAGCATTCAATCAATCAGATTCCAAACTCTCCACCATGGCCAAGACCAAAGAGCTCTCCAAGGATATCAGGGACAAGATTGTAGACCTACACAAGGCTGGAATGGGCTATAAGACCATCGCCAAGCAGCTTGGTGAGAAGGTGACAACAGTTGGTGCGATTATTCGCAAATGGAAGAAACACAAAACAACTGTTAATCTCCCTCGGCCTGGGGCTCCATGCAAGATCTCACCTCGTGGAGTTGCAATGATCATGAGAACGGTGAGGAATCAGCCCAGAACTACACGGGAGGATCTTGTCAATGATCTCAAGGCAGCTGGGACCATAGTCACCAAGAAAACAATTGGTAACACACTACGCCGTGAAGGACTGAAATCCTGCAACGCCCGCAAGGTCCCCCTGCTCAAGAAAGCACATATACATGCCCGTCTGAAGTTTTCCAATGAACATCTGAAGGATTCAGAGGAGAACTGGGTGAAAGTGTTGTGGTCAGATGAGACCAAAATGGAGCACTTTGGCATCAACTCAACTCGCCGTGTTTGGAGGAGGAGAAATGCTGCCTATGACCCCAAGAACACCATCCCCACCGTCAAACATGGAGGTGGAAACATTATGCTTTGGGGGTGTTTTTCTGCTAAGGGGACAGGACAACTTCACTGCATCAAAGGGACGATGGACGGGGCCATGTACCATCAAATCTTGGGTGAGAACCTCCTTCCCTCAGCCAGGGTATTGAAAATGGGTCGTGGATGGGTATTCCAGCATGACAATGACCCAAAACACACGGCCAAGTCAACAAAGGTGTGGCTCAAGAAGAAGCACATTAAGGTCCTGGAGTGGCCTAGCCAGTCTCCAGACCTTAATCCCATAGAAAATCTGTGGATGGAGCTGAAGGTTCGAGTTGCCAAATGTCAGCCTTGAAACCTTAATGACTTGGAGAAGATCTGCAAAGAGGAGTGGGACAAAATCCCTCCTGAGATGTGTGCAAACCTGGTTGGCAACTACAAGAAATGTCTGACCTCTGTGATTGCCAACAAGGGTTTTGCCACCAAGTACTAAGTCATGTTTTGCAGAGGGGTCAAATACTTATTTCCCTCATTAAAATGCAAATCACTTGATAACATTTTTGACATGCGTTTTTCTGGATTTTTTAAATTTATTCTGTCTCTCACTGTTCAAATAAACCTACCATTAAAATGATAGACTGATCATTTCTTTGTCAGTGGGCAAACGTACAAAATCAGCAGGGGATCAAATACTTTTTTCCCACACTGTATGTATGTATGTATGTATGTATGTATGTATGTATGTATGTATGTATGTATGTATGTATACATACACACATACAGTTGAAGTCGGAAGTTTACATACACCTTAGCCAAATACATTTAAACTCAGTTTTTCACAATTCCTGACATTTAATCCTAGTAAAAATTCCCTGTCTTAGGTCAGTTAGGATCACCATTTTATTTTAAGAATTAGAAATGTCAGAATAATAGTAGAGAGAATGATTTATTTCAGCTTTTATTTCTTTCATCACATTCCCAGTGGGTCAGAAGTTTACATGCACTCAATTAGTATTTGGTAGCATTGCCTTTAAATTGTTTAACTTGGGTCAAACGTTTCGAGTAGCCTTCCACAAGCTTCCCACAATGAGTTGGGTGAATTTTGGCCCATTCCTCCTGACAGAGATGGTGTAACTGAGTCAGGTTTGTAGGCCACCTTGCTCGCACACGCTTTTTCAGTTCTGCCCACAAATCTTCTATTAGATTGAGGTCAGGGCTTTGTGATGGCCACTCCAATACCTTGACTTTGTTGTCCTTAAGCCATTTTGCCACAACTTTGGAAGTATGCTTGGGGTCATTGTCCATTTTGAAGACCCATTTGTGACCAAGCTTTAACTTCCTGACTGATGTCAGGAAGCAGTGGCTTCTTCCTTGCTGAGCGGCCTTTCAGGTTGTGTCGATATAGGACTCTTTTTACTGTGAATATAGATACTTTTGTAACAGTTTCCTCCAGCATCTTCACAAGGTCCTTTGCTGTTGTTCTGGGATTGATTTGCACTTTTCGCACCAAAGTACGTTCATCTCTAGGAGACAGAACGCATCTCCTTCCTGAGCGGTATGACGGCTGCGTGGTCCCATGGTGTTTATACTTGCGTACTATTGTTTGTACAGATGAACGTGGTACCTTCAGGCATTTGGAAATTGCTCCCAAGGATGAACCAGACTTGTAGAGGTCTACAATTTTTTTTCTGAGGTCTTGGCTGATTTCATTTTATTTTCCCATGACGTCAAGCAAAGAGGCACTGTGTTTGAAGGTAGGCCTTGAAATACATCCACAGGTACACCTCCAATTGACTCAAATGATGTAAATTAGTCTATCAGAAGCTTCTAAAGCCATGACATCATTTTATGGAATTTTCCAAGCTGTTTAAAGGCACAGTCAACTTGTATGCAAACTTCTGACCCACTGGAATTGTGATACAGTGAATTATAAGTGGAATAATCTGTCTGTAAACAATTGTTGGAAAAATTACTTGTGTCATGCACAAAGTAGATGTCCTAACCGACTTGCCCAAACTATAGTTTGTTAAGAAGAAATCTGTGGAGTGGTTGAAAAGAACGAGTTTTAATGACTCAAACCTAAGTGTATGTAAACTTCCGACTTCAACTGTACATACATCCGAGGGCCTTCAAGGGGGGGGGGGGGGGGGGGGGGGGGGGGGCAGTTGCCCAATCCTGCTCTACAGTATACTTGCTTGTCTTGTCACAAACTGAAATTAGGCCAACTATTACAATTTTAGCAACCAAGAAATGGTGGAGCGATTTCTGCATAGCGCATCTTTAAGAACAACAGTGAAGAAAAAAAGAAAAAAAAGAAAAGGATTTTCAATTCAAAAGAGCATACGTTCAAGTAAATGTGCTACTTAATTATGTCTGTAAACGTAGGCCATTGTTCGTTCCACTCTTTAGGCAACACAGGACAGATGTTTCAGTCACTTACTTGAACTAGGAAAGTGTCCTTCTTATCCTCTGACAAGTCCACCACAAGCAGCTGTGTTAGGGAAAACAGAGCCTAGAATGAGTTTTTCAACACCAATCCATCACTATTACTACCAGACTCCCAAACATTCCATCCACATCAAAATGCATTGGAGGAGGGGGTGACTCACGTCGGTCTGGTCCGTGACCTGTTCCATTAGCCGCTTCTGCACTCCCAGCAGGTAGGGGGTGGGCGCCATGACGACGTCGATGAGGATCTCAGGAACTATGGAGATGAAGGTGTGTTGCCAGGTGAATGGATAGAGGAGGGCGGCCACAGCGTGGATCACCTGGGACAGGGTGCTGGGGAGGGGTCAGACTTATTCAGTGTGTGTGTCACTGTGTGAAGTAGTTAAGTGCTCCATTGACGAAGTTGACGCATGCGAGACGACTAAAATAAGAGTGCGCGCGCGTGTGTGTGTGTGTGTGTGTGTGTGTGTGTGTGTGTGTGTGTGTGTGTGCGCGCAGTACCTGAGCTCCACGGCTATGAAGACGATGCGTCGCTCCATAACGGCGGCAGCGAACACCAGCACCACCTCCTCGTCGGTCAAGCAACGGAAGAGCGTGCGGAAGTCCACGTGCTCCAGCCACGAGTCCAACGGCCGCGTCAGACTGATGATCTGGAGGGGAGACAGTCAACTCTACACGTCAATACTTTGACCAACATGTTATATACACAGTAAATATCCCCACCGTCACCAACATGTTACATACAGTAAGGTAATACAAAGTTGATTTACTGTTTAACGGCTTTCTTTATTTTTTTGTAATGCGAGTAAGCAGGGAACAAATTTACCACAAGATAGTTTAGCCTCCTGATAAGCATGGCTTAATTATTGGTATAATGGCTAAGGTTTTGGAATGGCAGTCACAGGGAACAGGGTTTGAGTCCTAGTCGGGGTAACCCCTAATGAACTATAATGGTGTCAGAAGTGGGATAGCACAATTGGAAGCATGTCCCGGCCACATCTGCGGCACAGTTGATTTTTCAGAGGCATAGTTCAGCGTACATTTTTCATAACGAGTGTACTTGCTGAAATATATAGCAGTTTACTAAAGTAATCACACCTAAACTTACAGATACAATACAGCAACAACTAGAGTGTGAGTGGGGGTTAATTGTGAAAAAAGGACCTGAAAAGATGGAATGTTGCAGGATGCGATTGGTGTTGGTGGGATTTTAGCCCTGGGGGAACATTGAGTAAGAGGGGGCAGGTTCAGACACAGCACTACACACCCCTGCATGGAACATCGCACCTCATGGTAATACTTATACTATTTCAGTGCTGTGTGTGTGTAGACACTCCGATGTTTTGTTTAACCAGTCATATACCACACTTTTCGCAATGGTGCCAGAGCAGTATCCTTGGGGTTATCCGAAATGAGGGCAAATGACTAAACCTACACACTGTGGAATGTGTACCACCTCTGCCCTAGTGCATCTCTTTTCTTACTAGCATTATTCCAGGCTAAATGGATTTCCTTTTCTTTTTACTCAATGCATATCCACCTGCTGGCATGGTCTCCTTTCTCACTAGCTGTGTGTGTATGTGTGTGTGTGTGTGTGTGTGTGTGTGTGTGTGTGTGTGTGTGTGTGTGTGTGTGTGTGTGTGTGTGTCCAACTGGCTTTGTGTCTCATTCCTTGACGGTCTCTTAGATCTCTAGCTGTGTGCTTTATTGTTCCTTCCAGTAGCTTGGAAGAGGAGTACCCCATTGACCTGGATGATCACATTGGTGACCGGCCCGCGTAGGTTTCCACCATAGTGGCGCAGTGGTCTAAGGCACTGCATCGCAGTGCTAGCTGTGCCACTAGAGATCCTGGTTCGAATCCAGGCTCTGTCGTAGAAGAAGCAATACTTCAAGCCGCAGCTCCATACTAATGGTCAGACAGAGAACGGATACGGCATACTGGTTGTTGGGGTGGGATTGGCATGGGGTGTAGGTGATCCGTCGGTGGCTTTTGATCATTTCATTGGATTCCTCATGTCTTACTCATTGTTAGAAAGAATGATGGTCCAAATTGGATGTTAGAGATCAAATTATATTTGTTTCTGGAATGCTAATCATCCGTTTCTAACTACAGAAATGATTTCAGCACAATCTGAGATGCTGGGTGTTGAAGCCTTCTTGTGCTTTTTGAGGTGGAACGACCCCATGTCATTGTACTATGCTAACTTAGTAATGTGGCTAAGTCAGGATGCTAACCTCGGTGCCCTTGTCGGGGATGAAGCTCTTGATCTTGACAGTGTTGCCTGGGGCAGGGAACGCGGCCTCCCTCAGGCTCTGCATGAATGGGTAAATCATCGCCATTGAGATCTGGTGTCGCTTCTCCACCTCGTCAAAGATCTGCACCAGAAGACAGAAAGGAATAATCCAACTCAGATATCGTCGTCATTGGATTGTGCACCACTGGAATAATAAAAATAATTACCCATCACACACACAACATTTCCTCAGTGCACATTTCAGTGGGTGAGCTTTTTCAAGACATTCACGAAACCAACAGAAACCACAATGAATAGTGCACCAGTAATAAGTATATGAGGAAGTAAACTATGGGGCTTACTATTCCCACTAGCCTAAGTGATAGTGGTGTGTGTCAATATTCACGTCACAAGACTTGGGGGGCACAACTGAAAGACAGTGAAATATGTTTTTTTGGGGGGGGCTTTATCAGCTACTTCAACCACAGACGGGGGCTAATGATAAATTGCCACTAAGAGGGAGAACATATGAACCATGCAAACATTTCAAAAACCCCAGACCAGTCTAAGAGGCTCATACCTCAGTCATTTTCTCGTACCATAACACATCATTACATAAACACAGTAGTTATGAGAAACTCAGTCCAATTTCACACACGACTGAATAAAGGTATGAACAGTTGTCAGAATTGCGAGAGGTGCCCATCGCATTCAGTTCTACATAAGTAGAAGGTTATGTGCTGTTGACATTTCCAAGGGATTTCCACAAAACGGTGATAAGTGAGAACTACCTTGGTCCTAGAAGCTTTAAAGGGATTGTTAACTTTTCTTTTACAGTGTTAGCTTATTTAGCGACTTACCTACAGTGTTGTCGTCTCGTCCAAATTACTTTTAAGTTTGTTAGCTGGTTATTTAGCAATGGCCAGAATCTCCTGGCTAGCATTTTTGGAGCATGTAGCAGTGGTACTGGAAACGGATTGTATCAGTCCAAAAAACATTAATAAAGTGGCCTATGGTGAAATCTGAGTATGTATAGTGTTATCCAATGTTAACTTAATCCCTTTTTTACAACGTGCACAGATGTCAGCATGATTCCTAACTGAAGTAACAGGGACAGAATTACTCAGAAGTATGAAGCATCGTTACAGCTAGGGATCTGCCCAGTTCAACTCATCCATGCTGCAGTCTCTGTGCAAAACACTCATTGCTGACAGCCGAAAGCCAATGACCTTTGAGGCGGGTTACCTTGGAGAAGAGTCCGAAACAAGCCAGCCTGCTAATGATGCAGAAGGCCTCGGGTGGGCGCGCTCCATTGCCGTGGGGCTAGTCGAGAACAATGGAGAAACAGACAGAGAGACGAAGGAGGACACGTCACACTACAATACTTCTTAAAGTACAGCATCTGAGGTGAAAAACCAAAGTGAAACTTACTAGTAGCCTTCTGCAGTATCCGTTCCTTCTGCTGCCATCGATCTCAGTCAAGACAAAGGAGAATGTCTCACTAGAGAAATGTGTGAAAGAGAAAAAGAGAGAGTATTTATATTTGATTATCAACAACACACCCATCTTTCCCGCCAGCAAAAATGACATACATTCATATCAGGTGCAGTGTTACCTGTGGTACTCTGTTAGGGGGGCCCAGTTGATCCCCTCAGGGAAACAGAAGAGTGTGATGGCCTTCAGGGTCTTTTCCTCCTCCTCTCTTTGGAATCTCACCATCCCATCCCTCTGAGAGAGAGCGAGCGAGAAAGGGAGCAACAGAGGGAGATCGAGTAACAGAGGAAGCGCGAGAGAGCGAGAGTAACAGAGTTGGAAAGTATTCAGAACCCTTCCCTTTTTCCACATTTTGTTATGTTACAGCCTTTTCCTCATCAATCTACACACAACAATCAAAAACAGTTTAGAAATGTCAGCAAATTTATTAAAAATAAAAAACAGAAATACCTTATTTACATATGTACTCAGACCCTTTGCTATGAGACTCGAAATTGAACTCAGGTGCATCCTGTTTCCATTGATAATCCTTGAGATGTTTCTACAACTTGGAGTCCAACTGTGGTAAATTCAATTAATTGGACATTATTTGGAAAGGCACACACACACACACACACACACGTCTATATAAAAGGTCCCATAGTTGATTGTGCATGTCAGAGCAAAAACCAAGCCATGAGGTCGAAGGAATTGTCCCTAGAGCTCCGAGACAGGATTGTGTCGAGGCACAGATCTGGGGAAGGGTACCAAAAAAATTTCTACAACATTGAAGGTCCCCGAGAACACAGTGGCCTCTATCATTCTTAAAAATTGAAGAAGTTTGGAACCACCAAGACTCTTCCCTAGAGCTGGCCGCCCGGCCAAACTGAGCAACCGGAGGACAAGGGACTTGGTCAGGGAGATGACCAAGAACCTGATGGTCACTCTGACAGAGCTCCAGAGTTCCTCTGTGGAGATGGGAGAACCTTCCAGAAGGACAACCATCTCTGCAGCACTCCACCAAATCAGGCCTTTATGGTAGAGTGGCCAGACAGAAGCCACTCCCCAGTAAAAGGCACATGACAGCCCGCTTGGAGTTTGCCAAAAGGCACCTAAAGGACTCTTAGACCATGAGAAACAAGATTCTCTGGTCTGATGAAACCAAGATTGAACTCTTTGGCCTGAATGCCAATCGTCACGTCTGGAGGAAACCTGGCACCATCCTTACATTTTAGTCATTTAGCAGACGCTCTTATCCAGAGCGACTTACAGTTAGTGAGTGCATACATTTTCATACTGGCCCCCCGTGGGAATCGAACCCACAACCCTGGCGTTGCAAGCGCCATGCTCTACCAACTGAGCTACACGGGCCCTAAAGTGAAGCATGGTGGTGGCAGCAGCATCATGCTGTGTGGATGGTTTTCAGTGGCAGGGGCGAGGGAAAGATGAACAGAGCAAAGTACAGAGAGACCCTTGATGAAAACCTGCTCAGGACCTCAGACTGGGGCGAAGGTTCACCTTCCAACAGGACAACGACCCTTAGCACACTGCCAAGACAACGCAGGAGTGGCTTCAGGACAAGTCTCTGAATGTCCTTGAGTGGCCCAGCCAGAGCCCAGACTTAAACATCTCTGGATAGACCTGAAAATTGGATGCTCCCCATCCAACCTGACAACGCTTGAGAGGATCTGCAGAGAAAAATGGGAGAAACTCCCCAAATACAGGTGTGCCAAGCTTGTAGCGTCACACCCAATAAGACTTGCTGTAATCTCTGCCAAAGGTGCTTCAACAAAGTACTGAGTAAAGGGTCTGAATACTTATGTAAATTTGCAAAATAATCTACAAACCTGTTTTTGCTTTGTCATTATGGGGTATTGTGTGTAGATTGATGAGGGGAAAAAACGATTTAATCAATTTTAGAATAAGGCTATAAAGTAACAAAAATGTGGAAAAAGTCAAGGGGTCCGAATACTTTCCGAATACACTCTAATGAGCGTTCTAAGATCAACTACATCTCTGCCTGTGTTATTGTGAGTGCTCTGCCATTTTACCACAACTTAGTCCACTACTGGATGCTTAAATTTTTTGGATGCCTGTCTTTGTTGAGCAACCCTCCTACTTTTCTTGCTGAAGGTCTACCTGAACTATTCTCTCCTACCTCCCTTTTACTCTTCAAGGACTTCCATTGTGCTTTTCATTTCTTCTTCACATTTTCCCTTCATATCCCTTTTGGGAGACATGCAGTGTGTCTACTAACTAGCGGACTCACCTTGGGGAACTGGTAGGTGATCTGCGGCTCGTAGGCACCCTCTTTAGACTTCTTGAGGCTGACCACCACCAGGTACTCAAAGAAGTACTGCCCGCTCATGTAGCGCTGCTCCCTGGCTGTGGTGTCCACAGGAGTTGGCTCCATAGACTCCTGAAAGCATGGCTCCTTCATCACCCCTGCAGGGACAACATTGTCATGTGTAAGCAGAGGCTTACTATACAGTAACATATCGTAAAATGGTACCCTGGCGCTGTAACGGCAGCTTAACTTAAACGGCTCCTGTACATGTTGTATACATGATTAATATTGTATTTTTGTGTCTTATTTTTTTTTTATTCACTTTTAGTTTTTGATAGTTAAATAAGAATCGAGAAATAATCTGATGATTTTGTCCTGGTTTTGTAACACTGCGATGCTGAAAAATGTATGCTTGGCTAGCACGCTAATTAGCTAGCTGGAACTGGGAGCTGTTTTGGTTCGAATGCAGACATCGGCTTCAACGGCTTGAAAGGCAGTGGAGAAGTGCAGTGAGAGAATTGCGAAGATAGTAGAGGCCCGTAGAGATCAGGACAACTACTTTGACGATTACCGATGTGTGGTAGGCTTTCTGGCGCCAGCGGCTGCTGGGGCATCACCCAAGTGGGTGCTACACATTGGTAGTGTAAAGGAGTAGCTACAGTACCTACGGCGTCCATAAGGAGAGGCCACAGATTTTTAAAAATCTTTGGAGAGGCTGAGGACGTCAGGGACAGCGAGGTGTGCTGATGGTTATGGATCTATCTCTGATATATGACCACTGACCTCCCAGGCTGTGACTGTGACCAAGATGCTCTCTCCAACCTCCATTCTTGCCTCACTCCCTGCTGTTTTGATTTTGTTGTCTCTATTACATTTAAATGTGTTTCTTGTATGTGTTACTGTAATTCAGCTTTTAGCTGCCATAGTACACATGAAACTAAATGAAATAAAGCATTATAAAAATAAATAAAATCGAAGGCTTATGGTCTGGCTAGCTCAGTTGGTTAGACCACAGTGTCAACAAGGTTCCTGGTTCAATTACAGCTTACTGATCGTAGGGGACTTTGAATGATGCACTTATCAATAAGTCTCTGTTGTAAGAAATGTGTCTTGAAAATAGAATATCCACTTGAGGGTGAAAAGTAAAAAAGTTACTATCCTTTTGAATCGCTCTCTCGCTCTCCACTTGCTCTATATCTCTTCCACTGTACACCAGCAGATAAAGTATCAGTTACAATGGGAAAAGTATTGCTGCTCCCTGCCTCTGGGAGAATCCCAGGAATGTGGCAAATAAGAGTGCTTTCCGGTGTGTTTATCACTTTTTCAATACGGAATATTGAATGGAACTCAACTCAGGTGCTGTCGACCTCAAATCAAAAATACAATAATGGCCAAGTTGTGCAAACTCAATACAGGCTGCCTGACAAATACCTGGGCCGCAGTTGCACCATACAGTGTGTTTCCAGCCATATAAGGATTTGTATGAATATAAAAACAGCTATGATAGGTGTATGTTTTTCCAACAAAGTATACAACGATATTAAAAGTGTATATTACAAATTACATTTATTAGCATATTGAATTTCAAAGACATAACTAGCCAGAAGGCACTTATTAACCCGAGCCACTTATATAATACACTGAGTGATAATACACTGAGTGTACAAAACATTAGGAACACCTGCTCTTTCCATGACAGACCGACCAGGTGAAAGCTATGATTAAGAACTGCAACGCCACTGGATTTGTCCCACTCAATAGTTTCCCGTGTGTATCAAGAATGGTCCACCACCCAAAGGACATCCAGCCAACTTGACAACTGTGGGAAGCATTGGAGTCAACATGGGCCAGCATCCCTGTGGAACGCTTTCGACACCTTGTAGTCCATACCCTGACGAATTGAGGATGTTCCAAGGGCAAAAGGGGGTGCAACTCAATATTAAGGTGTTCCTACTGTTTTGTACACTCAGTGTATGTGTATGTTATTTATACATGCATTATTAATGAGCACAACCACATATCACCAAAGTAAAAATAGGTGTAACAGACACCATGCTAACACAATTTTAAATAAACAAACATCCAAAGTTACACATGTTTTGCGAGGTGTCTGAGCATATGAGCAATAGCCTATCATTTACAAGATTCTTAGTGCTTAATCTGCTTTTTAAAATGTGAAGGAAAGACAGCAAGCCCATCCTCCCCACCCAATTCTGCCACATGGTGTGCTTAAGGTTGGGTAAACCCTGCAGCAGTTTGACAGAGGACCTGCTGAACTGAAAACACCACCAAGACAAACACTGCCATTATTTTTGTTGAGGGCAGACGAGTCCTCTCAGAGTTTTGTGAAAATGTTACTGGTCTCTCGCTTTTTTTCATTGTTCCTTTGAGTTCTTTATACTGCCACAAGCCACACACACACACAAAAAAAAAGGACCGTTCTGGGACTCGGCCTACTGTGACAAGTTTTAGCCTCACCTGCTTTTACCATGGCAACAGTCCCTGCATAATGCAAGACTAACCCATTACACTCCACATTTACCTTAGCAGTACACCCATACTGCTGGTGTTATTTCAAAAACACTCCAAAGTCACTAAAGGTGATGATAAAGCTCAAAGGCATTGCTGGGTCTGCAATACAAACAGGTAATTGGGCACAACTGGAAAACCAAATCCATCACAACGTCAACATCTTCCACCAACCTATTCATTCTTATTAAGTGTCAGATGACATACACTGAACAAAAATATAAACGCAACATGTAAAGTGTTGGTCCCATGTTTCATGAGCTGAAATAAAAAGATCCCAGAAATGTTCCAAAAACGCACAAAAAGCTTATTTCTCTAAAATGTTGGTCACAAATTTGTTTACATCCCTGTTAGTGAACATTTCTTCTTTGCCAAGATAATCCATCCACCTGACAGGTGTGGCATTTCAAGAAGCTGATTAAACAGCAGGATCATTACACAGGTGCCCCTTGAGCTGGTGACAATAAAAGGCCACTAAAATGTGCAGTTCTGTCACATAATATAATGCCACAGATGTCTCAAGTTTTGAGGGAGAGTGCAATTAGCATGCTGACTGAAGGAATGTCCATCACAGCTGTTGGCAGAGAATTGAATGTTAATTTCTCTACCATAAGCCTCACAACCACAGACCACGTCTAACCACGCCAGCCCAGGACCTCCACATCTGGCTTCTTCACCTGCAGGATCATCGGAAATCAGCCACCCGGACAGATGATGAAGCTGTGGGTTTCCACAACCGAAGGATTTCTGCACAAACTGTCAGAAACCGTCTCAGGGAAGCTCATCTGCGTGCTCGCTGTTCTCACCAGGGTCTTGACCTGACTGCAGTTCAGCGTCGTACCTGACTTCAGTGGGCAAAAGCTCACCTTCGATGGCCACTGGCACGCTGGAGAAGTGTGCTCTTCACAGATTAATCCTGGTTTCAACTCTACCGGAAAGATGGCAGACAGTGTGTATGGTGTCGTGTGGGCGAGCGGTTTGCGGATGTCAATGTTGTGAACAGAGCGCCCCATGGTGGCGGTGAGGTTATGGTATTGGCAGGCATAAGCTACGGACAACGAACACAATTACATTTTATCTATGGAAATTTGAATGCACAGAGATACAGCGACTAGAATTTAGGCCCAATGTCGTGCCATTCATCTGTCGCCATCACCTCATGTTTCAGCATGATAATGCTTGGCCCAATGTCGCAAGGATCTGTGCACAATTCCCAGAAGCTGAAAATGTCTCAGTTCTTCCATGGTCTGCAAACTCACCAGACATGTCACCCATTGAGCATGTTTGGGATGCTCTGGTTCGACGTATACGACAGCGTGTTCCAGTTCCTGCCAATATCCAGCAACTTCGCAATGCCATTGAAGAGGAGTGGGACAACATTCCACAATAAACAGCCTTATCAACTCTATCCGAAGGAGATTTGTCACGCTGCATGAGGCAAATCGTGGTCACACCAGATTCTGAATGGTTTTCTGATCCACGCCCCTACCTTTTTTTTTTTAAGGCATCTGTATTCCCAGTCATGTGAAATCCATAGATTAGGGCCTAGTTAATTTATTTCAATTGACTGATTTCCTTATATGAACTGTAACTCAGTAAAATATTTTAAATTGTTGCATGTCGCATTTATATTTTGGTTCAGTGTATAAACAGTACCGGCACCCATTTCAGTCCAAATCAAGCACTGAGTAAATAAAAAATATATATACACACACAGTGAGGGAAAAAAGTATTTGATCCCCTGCTGATTTTGTATGTTTGCCTACTGACAAAGAAATGATCAGTCTATAATTTTAATGGTAGGTTTATTTGAACAGTGAGAGCCAGAATAACGAAACAAAAATCCATTTCATAAATGTTATAAATTGATTTGCATTTTAATGAGGGAAATAAGTATGACCCCCTCTCAGTCAGAAAGATTTCTGGCTCCCAGGTGTCTTTTATACAGGTAACGAGATGAGATTAGGAGCACACTCTTAAAGGGAGTGCTCCTAATCTCAGCTTGTTACCTGTATAAAAGACACCTGTCCACAGAAGCAATCAATCAGATTCCAAACTCTCCACCATGGCCAAGACCAAAGAGCTCTCCAAGGATGTCAGGGACAAGATTGTAGACCTACACAAGGCTGGAATGGGCTACAAGACCATCGCCAAGCAGCTTGGTGAGAAGGTGACAACAGTTGGTGCGATTATTCGCAAATGGAAGAAACACAAAAGAACTGTCAATCTCACCTCGTGGAGTTGCAACGATCATGAGAACGGTGAGGAATCAGCCCAGAACTACACGGGAGGATCTTGTTAATGATCTCAAGGCAGCTGGGACCATAGTCACCAAGAAAACAATTAGTAACACAACGCCGTGAAGGACTGAAATCCTGCAGCGCCCGCAAGGTCCCCCTGCTCAAGAAAGCACATATACAGGCCCTTCTGAAGTTTGCCAATGAACATCTGAATGATTCAGAGGAGAACTGGGTGAAAGTGTTGTTTTCAGATGAGACCAAAATCGAGCTCTTTGGCATCAACTCAACTCGGCGTGTTTGGAGGAGGAGGAGGAATGCTGCCTATGACCCCAAGAACACCATCCCCACCGTCAAACATGCAGGTGGAAACATTATGCTTTGGGG